CTCCTGCAATTTTTTACAACAAGGGAATGAGGAATATACAAGTCTGGAAAGAGAGACATCCTTTTTGGAGAAGTTAAAAACTGGGATGGCAGCCATACAAGCCAAGGAGGCGGCAGAGAGGAGAGAAAAAGAAGCCGCCTTTGCACACTTTGGTGTCATGCGAACCCCAGAGATGCGTGTCATGGGGTGGCTTTGGGCCTTCAGGTCCCTATGGGGACCCTATTAGGGATTCCCCCATTTTTTTTGCAAGATTTGGGGAGAAGGTTGGCTTTGACTTCCTCTGAGGCTGAGAGACTGTGACTCAAGAGTGTCACCTAATAGGTTTCCAAGGCTTAGCGGGGATTCGAACCCAGAGTCCTAAGGAGCATCGACAAGTGTAGAAAGCATGCAGTTTGATAGCGCTGGAGCTCCATGGTATGGAAACCTGGGATTTCTGGTTTTCAAGGTCTTCTCAAACTACAAATCCCGGGATCCTGTAGGATGGAGGCAGGGCAGTGAAAGTGGTGTCAAACTGCATCATTTCTACAGTGGAGATGGACCTACAGTCAAGGTGACCAGGAGTCCTCATTGCAAAAGAAGACAAGGTACTGTGAAATGGAGGACACTCGAGGAAAAATGTAGGACCTTGCCAAATCATGGCTAGGAAAAATACTCATAGAAGTGTAAATCTTAGTCTTGCTCAAAACGAAGGACATTTGGAAATTCCTCCTGGGCCCAAGGTTGAAATGGAGGACTGGTCCGGGAGAAAAAGAGGACCTCTGGTTTTACCCACCGAGGACATTCGAGAAAAAATGTAGGGCACGACCAAAGAAAAGGTAAAAACACTCATATAAAAGCAAATTCATGCTTCTTAGGTTTTTTTTTAAAGAGCTAATAACACTTTAAAATAACTATAAATTCATGCTTCTTCGTCCTGCTGAAAACGAAGGAGGTTTCGGAATCCCTCCTGAACAGACGGTTGAAATGGAGGACGCGTCCGGGAAAAGGAGGGCGGGCCTCGGGTCGCCCTGAACGGGGGCTTCCGACCCCTCAAAGAACGTGGTTTTGGATGGGCTTTTTCGCTGGCAGGCTTGGAACTCAAACAAACCCTTCCCCGTCTCCCTAGGTAACTTAAAGCGCCGGATCCGAACCCAGAACCCGAGGGGGAAAGAAAACAAAAAAAAAAGGACAAGAAGGTCCGGGATCGTTCCTACCTGTGTGGACGCCTGTCCGGCAAAAGAGGAGGAGGAGGATGGGAGAGAGAAACCAGAGGAAGGAGCCGTCAAACATAGTTTCTTTCTTATGGAGGAGGAGGAGGACTAAGAGGCCCTGGAGGTCAGCAGCTGGAGGTCCGTCCCGTCTTGCAAGGAAGCTTGGGAAAAGCCAAAAAGACAGAGAAACTTGCAAAAAAAGGAAGAGGAGGCAAAGGAGAAGAAGAGAGAAAGAGAGGATGCGAAAGGGAGCCAGCCAGCATCCCCTTCTCCTCCTCCCTCCTCCTCCGCCTTTCCTCCAGCGCGGCTCCTGATTGGCCGAGGGCCTCCCGGAGAGACCCCCTCCCGCTCTCTGATTGGTCCCCGGGATTTTAACAGCCTCGAGTCAATGGAAAAAGGAGAGGAGCCCCGCACGTGCCGGGAGGCAGGAGGCCGGCAGGGGGCGCCCGAGAGACACCTGCGGAGGGCCAGGTGGGCTGTCCTCCTTTTCCCGGACAGGTCCTCCATGTCCAGGAGGAGTGCCACCATGTCCTCCATTCAGGGGAAAAGCAGGCACACACATCCTCCTTCTCCTGGGCATGTCCTCCATTTCCATCTTCTCTCCAGCTGCTGAGGTTTCCACAATGTCCTCCATTCTCCAGGGAGGGCCTCCATTTTCACCTTCTATCCAGGAGGGAGTCTACTACATTGTCCTCCACTCAGGGGAACCAGACGTGTCATTAATATATTTGTAATGGGAGTGGTGGGGGTGGTTATCGTTATTTGTCGATATTGTTTTATTGTTTATTTTTGGGGTAGTTTTATTTAATCTAATTTGAGATGTAAGCCGCTTTGATTGGACAGAAGGCGGGGTATAAAAATATAATAATAATAATAATAATAATAATAATAATAATAATAATAATAATAATAATAATTTTCCAGGGCATGTCCTCTATTCTCACCTTCCGTCCAGGAGGAATTCCACAATGTCCTCCTTTTCCATCTTCCTCCATCCTCCATCCAGGGGGGAACCAGACCTGTCCTCCTTTTCTAGGGCATGTCCTCCATTCCCACCTTCTGTCCAGAAGAAATTCCACGATGTCCTCCGCTTAGAGGGACTACTAGACAAATTCTCCTTTTTTTCCAGGGCAGAACCTGCATTTCTGCCTTTTGTCCAAGAGGAATGCCACAAGGTCCTCCAATCGGAGGACGTCTGGTCTTCACCCAGAGAAGTCCTACCCGCTTTCTTCCCAGAAGATCTTCCAGAGCCATAGACCTGTTTCAGGAACCCACATCTGCCATTTGGACCAGGGAAGTGGGTGCCATCTCCTGAAAACATTTGGATCCATAGACATAGATCCCAAGGCCACACAACCTCATAGATTCATCAAGTTGGAAGAGACCCCAAGGGCCATCCAGTCCAACCGCCCTTCTGCCATGCAGGAACTCACAATCAAAGCACCCCCGACACAGGGCCGTCCGACCTCTGTTTAAAGACCTCCAAAGAAGGAGACTCCACCATTCTCCGGGGCAGCATCTTCCATTGTCAAACAGCTTTAACTGTCAGGACGTTTCTCCTAATGTTGAGGTGGAATCTCTTTTCCTGTAGTTTGCATCCATTGTTCTGTGTTCTAGTCTCTGGAGCAGCAGAAAACAAGCTTGCTCCCTCCTCAATATGGCACCCCTTCAAATATTTAAACAGGGCTATCATATCACCTCTTAACCGTCTCTTCTCCAGGCTAAACATACCCAGTTCCCTAAGTCATTCCTCGTAGGGCATTCACCATTTTAGTCACCCTCCTCTGGACACACTCCAACTTTTCAACGTCCTTCCTGAATTGTGGTGCCCAGAACTGGACATAGTATTCCAGATGAGGCCTGACCAAAGCAGAAGAGAGTGGCACTATTACTTCCCTTGATCTCGATACTATACTTCTGTTGATGCAGCTTAGGATCGCATTGGCCTTTTTAGCTGCTGCATCACACTGTTGACTCATGTTCAACTTGTGGTCTACTGCTGACTTCTTCTTGCCTGGCAATTCTGACTCCTGCCATAGCACTGTCACTTTTGTGTTTGCACGGTTCATCCAACGCATGTGGCGTTTTCATGGAACCGGGCCAGGATGGGAGCAGGAGTGGGCAGACTGCGCTCCCAGTATCGTCCCACTATCGACGCCGGTTGTGCGGACAGCTACCCCTGAGGGCATAGAAGCAGCTCCCAAGGCCATCATATCTGTTGCATGGGTGCCAGTCAGCATTTATTATTGCTCCTGTTCTTGTTACTTACCCTTGTGCCTAGGACTGGGCTGGGAGCTTTGGGCGCAGGGTTTTATGGGGCTATTTTTATTTTAAATAAAATAATCTATATCTATATTTTTATTTAATTTTTTGTGTTGCATGTTATTGTGGTATTAGAGGTAATTGGTGAATGGATGAAAAGATGAGTATGGATGTATATAGATGGATGCATTTTTGTTTAAGTGTAATGTACATGTGAAGTGTTTGTACTGTTTTGTCATTGTATTGTTTTTTTAATATATGAATAAAGTTATTATATATATATATATAAAAAGATTTATTTTTTTTACCCTCTCCCCATTCCGTCTTTTATTCTCTCTTTTTTGCCATTTTAAGGACCCGCTCCAGAAGCCAAGACTTTCCGCCATGATTGCAAAGTTAACAAGCCTTCGGAGACATCCGACAGATGTTATAGACATCTTTGCAGGAAGGATCCCTTTGGCCCTTTGCCTGGAAAGGAAGAGTTAACTTGGAAGCGAATGAAAGTACTTTTCCCTCGATATCCCTTCTTCTCCTTCTTCTTCTCCTCCTCCAGATAGCATCTTTGGCTTCTTCTCAAGGGGATATCTATATTGCATTATACTTGTGACAGTATAATAATTCCAAAAACTCTTTGGCGGAGCAGCCGTCCGGTTTCTGGGAGGGAAGAGGAAGCTATCCATTTGGCCGAGATCAAAATCTCCAAGGGACAGTACCATCATGTCGATGATGATGATGATGA